GGGGGGGGGGGGGGGGGGGGGGGGGGGGGGGGGGGGGGGGGGGGGGGGGGGGGGGGGGTGAGTGTGTGAGATTGGGGAGAGAATCAAAAAATACGTCTAAAAAATACGATAGAAACAATAAAATACGATAGAAAAAATAAACGGAAAAAAAAAAGAAAGAAAAAAGTAACAGTTTCGCAGTCTAAAAGCAGTTGAAAAGTTAGTACTACCAAATCCGTTTCTGCTGATAAATAACAAAGCGCCAAAAGTGCTCGATGCTCACGTTGAATATATACCATTAAAATTTGTAAATGAAGGACGTAGTTAATCTTTAACAAGCCTTCAGATAGTTGGGAAAACGCAAAGAAAGGTGAGCTAGAAAAAATGGCGAAGGGGCAGGGTCAGGGAGAGAGGGCGAAAGGTCCTCCTACTCTCTCCCTCTTACTCTCTTCCACGTTTGTTTTCCTCCGTTCCCCATTTCGCGCCACTGTCCACTATCCACTATCCACTGTCCACTACGCTGGAACAGGCTAGTTCATAGTGGGCCAGAGAATTTTTTTTCCAATGCCGATGCAAGGGATCTATAGATGCCCATTTAGGAGCATCTGACATCTTTAAAAGCTCACACTCACGCTGCAACTATTCCTGCTTTAGCATTAGTAAAACGCCACTCTTTTTTTTTCTATTTCCCGTTTTGCTGTAGAGGAAAGTTTTTGGCGATTTGTTTTTGATGATGGTGTTTCATCGTCGATCAAAACGAGTTAAAATGTTTTTTACAATGTACCGGCTTTATAAGCGTGATAGTAATACACGGAAACGTACATGTATACTTGTACATAATTACTTGAAAGAGAAAACTCGTAAGAACAAAAAGTGTTCTAATTAGTTAATATTGGTTATCCCCGTCTTAAATTTAACGTATTTTTGCCTTTTGACGGATGCTTCAATCAATAAAACACACCACTGTACTTCTTTAAAGTTTGTTTTCGTTAGGCTCGGTCGTCGACGTCTTGCCGACGTCGCTCAAAAAAGCCGACTTTTGGGTAATTCTACACTATATACTGTATCCAAAAAAAATGACTCTTCTAAATAAGATAAGTGTATTGAAAGATGTAATATAGATTGTATGCTGGAATTTGGCATGTGATCAGCGTTGAATAGAATGTTAAAAGTGTATCTGTCGCTAACACCGCTGGCGTGACGGGCCGTGTCACGCTATTTTTAACCACTGGAATGTCGCGATTTTTCGCAAAATTAGGGTTGAACTCGACGTTTTGCGGGCTACTTAAAATCGTTTGCCCAGAGATTTGTTTCGGTTTTCTGATAGATTGGGGCCTAGTTAAGCCGTAGAAAGTCAATTTGCGTTCAATTTGTAAAAACTTACATTTCAACCTTATAATTTTGAACGGCAGAAATTGTCAAAAGGGCCTATTATTAACAATACCTTTTTGACCACAAATTTATTATAGTTTTCACAAATTTATCTCCTTATAAGAAAGAAAGGGCCATAAAAACTATTCGTGTTCTTCAAAGGCTGCCAAATCGTTGTGGTTTGACGTACGAGTCAATGAAATTTGTGTAAAATTTCGTTTTACCGGAAGAGGATTTTGAGCTCCGGACGGGCAAAATGAGTTGTCTCGAATTTTAACAAAAGCACGCGTTATTTGGGAAAACTAACTACAGCATGTCTCATTAAACATTAAAGGTTATCGATGAGCCAAAAATGAGCGAAGTTCGCATTTTGAACTTGTGCCACAAAAAGTCGATTTTGGTCGATATTTACAGACAGTCGCTCTTAAATGGTCACACCAAAGGAGCTCGTCCACACTTAAAGTTAAAGCTATATACGGAATAAGCAGTTGGAACTTCACTCTAAATAAATAGTACCATGTGAAAGTACTGCAAGAGAGGTTTCATTTGAATGGTAACACCATGGGATTTCATCCACAGATTCAAAAGTTAGAACTACATACTAAATAAATAGTACCATGTGAGAGTACTACAAGAGAGATTTCATTTGAATGGTAACACCATAGGATTTCATGCACAGACTCAAAAGTTACAACTACATACTAAATAAATAGTACTGAAAGTACTGCTGAACAGGTTTCATTTGAATGCTTACACCATAGAACACGGTCCACACGAACTCAAAAGTTAGAACTACTCGCTAAACAAATATATCATACATTGTAATCACTATCTGTCTTCTCATTGGCTAAGAACCTACACTTAGTTTTGGAAATCAGCGCAACCTACAGATTAGTATAGTTAATTATCTGCTAGCAGATTACTAGTTGCTCTGATCTGAAGGTTACGCGCGCAATGAATGATTTCCAAAAGCAATTTCAAATTGTGTTCCATACGATGCTGTGCTTGTCCTTATTTGCTTCAATGCAATGTATAATAAAACAATTATTATATTCGGTTTTTGCGATATCCGTAATAATCAAGGCCTCGGTAAGTGTTATCAGCCTCGGCCTTCGGCTTCGGCTGATAACTCTTACCTCGACCTTGATTCAAAAGAGGTTTCATTTGAATGGTCGCTCCAGAGGATTTCGCCCACAGACTCGAAAGTTAGAGCTACCTTACAAAAATCCTTCATTCACTATGCCGGTGAGTCAATAAAGAGTTAAGACAGAAAGATGCATTTTAGTTTTATGTTGATATCTCACACTACAAACCAGCCCACATAAAATTTCGACCTTTAACATGTTCAACACTATAAACAACCAAAGAAAAAATATATGCAAAGTTGCCGATGACACTAAACTATCACGTTTGGAAAAGGGTGCATCGTATCATTCCCGTCTATCTTCATTGGTAAGAAGTAAGTCAAAGTTTTAAGTCCTTTAAAATACAGTTTATTCTTCCGTATAAACAATTAAAAATTATATTCGTTATTACAAATTACAAACACTTTGAGGTTACGGCGAGTTTCACTGATCGGCATCTGCTCAACCCGCCGAATAATTAGTAAACAATTGGAAAGAAAATGACATTTCGTATTTTGTTCATCATGATCACATCTCCATTATGAATAAAGCACACACGCCCCTTGTAAGGGAATACGGATTCCAGAATCCGAAAACTTTTTGCTCGTCGAATCTGGAATCCCAAAACCTGGGTTTTGAAATCGGCAATACACCTTAAGGAATCCGAAATCCCACTAACGATTGAAATACGGAAACCAAGTTCAACTGACAAAAAAAAATACAGAGTCCAGTCCCTGGAATCCTGTCTTAAATTGGATTCCCTTACGTAGGGCGAATGGTAAGTCTACTTTTTCCTCAGCACACTCTACAGCTCTTTTTGCAGTAAACTGTCATGTATCCCGGATTTCTTCTGCATTCACCTCTCCCTGCCCACGTTGCACACATGACATGGCGATTTTTGCAGCTGCTGCCACCTACAAATGCAAACATGATTCTTGTTACGTTTCAGCAAGAGCAGCTCGAAAGCTGGAACCCCCATTATTTCGCCCTCACTCTAACTTTCGCACCATGCAATAACTCGAGCGGAAACGCCTGCTACGCAGGCTAAAAGAGCATTGACAATCTGACAAAATATTTAATGGGTACGGTCAAGCAATCACAAAAATAGGGTCATATATATGAGGCAAAAATAAGACGCGCCTTACAAAAGACCGCGTCCTTATAAGATTAAAACTATCCCCTATATATTTTGACTGAAATAGTACGCGACCTAGGCCCCTTCTACACGAATCCGAATATTTTTGAAACTGCACAGTTTTTTTTACACGAGTAGCCCGCGGATGAATGAGCGTATTCACTTGTTATTCACTTGACGGAAGGCCAATTTATGCACAAAGTATGCGGTTTCAAAAATATTCCTGGAAGGGAAGAAGTCAAGATGCGTGCGGAATCAGAAAGACAGACTTCCCTGGTAAGGGGATAAAGGATGTGAAATGGGGGAGGCTAAGATACACACCCATTTGTTTGCAGGAAGCTTACATTGCAAAAAACTGCACAAAGACGTAGAGATGTCCTAATATGCAAGTATGCATTTGGTGGAGCGTCATTCTTTTGCTGGTTTGCACGTGACAACACGGCGGCCACAGTGGTGGTTAAGAACAAAAGCATTTCTCTTCCCTTCGAAGTAAACTCTATTTTCACGTAAATTCTTCGAGAAAAAAATTATATTGCATTTATCCCGAACATGGCCGCCTTGTCACGTGCTTGCAATCCAATAATGGAGCGGTAAGATTGGTTTAAGAACAAATTATTAAGCTTTGATCACATCCCTAACACAATTAGATTTGTCTTCGACATTTCTGTTGCTAGCAGCGAGTTCTATCTAGGCTGTGACTTTTCAGTTGGAGACTAACACAATTAGCTTGGGAAAATAAATCAATGTCCGGCAAATACTGGCAATTCATGAGAATTTTGTTTAACTGAAGAGGCTGACGTATCATAGGAATTTTCCTAAACAGTATGCTAGAATGATGAATTCAAAATCCACGACTGCCTGTTGCACCACTGAGCTACAACCAAGTGGCCGCCAACAAGCAACAGAAAGATGAAGAATTAGTCACTCACGTATCATTTTCTTTCAGTTTTCACCACTTACAGTTGTTGCAGCTTTTCTTGCAATTGAGTAACATATAGCCAGAGTTCCTCTGGCATTCTCCTATTCGTGCCCAGTAAGAACATGATCGGTGGTTATCTCTGCAGTTAACTAACAGTAGCAAAGGAAAAAGATCAAGATTAGGTACGATTTATATGCGACCTTACTTCTTTACTGCTGAGATAGCAAATACCTTAATCGTACTTTTTTTATTCTCGGTTTCTTCACTTCACCATTAAATTCCTAAGCTTTTGGTGTTGAGGGTGAGAAAATTCCATCGATTCCTATTAACGTTTGCAGTGGTAGGTATGTCTCTGACCAGCACAAGCAACTTAACACAGTGAACATCTTACACACAAAAGGGAAGAGTGACAGCATTTATCTCTTCTCTCAGTTAACATAAAACGTTTTCGAGTGAATTTAAAGATAATATAAATACTCGACTATCGTAAAAGAGGACACAGATCAACGAGTTTTGCTTCTCCAGGTTACGTATAACTCAATCAAGAAGTTTATTATTCGATTTATACTTAATTAATTCGTGCTTTGCAAACAAATATAGCGGCAACTCGAAACAATTTTAACATATACACCAGCTGTTTGACTGCACTGCTCACCTTTATGACCCTTTTTGAATACATCGTTTAATATTTTCTAAACAAAAAATCCTAATGATCCGGATTTTTAATCTGATATTAGATTTAAGTAAAGAAACACCCCCAAAGTGTCTGGTTTTTAAATTTCCTGCACGGAGCTATATATCGTGGATCTGTAGAACTGAGCATGTACCATTAACGCGGATTAATAAGCCTCTTCCTACATCATCCATTTAATTAGCTCGATTGAT